GATCTGTTTCTTTGAAGCTGTATAATCTTGGGTTTACCTAAGATCAGTCTTCTCATCAGTAAAATAGCAACAGGGGAGAGTGACTGACAGGTGAATTAAATGGATGATGTAAGTAAATTGTTAAATGCAGACTTGTGTTCATCAGGCATTCCACGAGTCAGCTCACCACTATAGTTATGTGATTAGATTTCTGAAATGTGGCTGAAAGAACAAGAAACGAGTGCACTTTGGACTGGCTCACCCAGTGTGCTGCCACTATTCCATGGTTGCTGTTTCTGGGATTCAGTCCCACGCTGTCGGCACAGCCAGTTTTTCACTCTGGACAAACCCTACCCTCTTTTGGGTTGGCACTTTCCACCTGCTATTGGAAAGGAAAGAATTTGTTTATTCTTCCATGACCCATCCCCAACTTCCCTTGCTTGAGGCATGACTTCCTAGTGCTCATTTCTAGTGAACTTCCCTTCTCTCTCCAGAAACTTTGGCTGCCCTCTGTCTAAGTCCCGTCTTACTTTATTTCATCCTGTTGTGGCCCTCAGCATCAGCTACCATAAAATGTTTCCTTATCTGTGATTTGCCCAAGAATGGCCGACAGCTATTTTGTGTACTAAGTCTTTGCGTTGACGACCCATCTCTGGGTCTCAGCTCAGCACATAATCCATATGTGTGCAGCTAATGATTAACTTTTTTAAAACTGGTGTTTTCGTTTACTTGTATATGTTCCATGCATGTATTTTGTGTGTATTCCTTTCTCTCCACCACGTGGCCTCATTGATTGAACGCTGATGGACAGGCCTGGCCCTTTACTACTGGTACAGAGTCTCACTGAATTAACCAGACTGACTTGGGACTCCTGCAGATACCTCTTCCCAAATACCAGAACAACCTTGAACCCTTAATCATGTTTCTACCTCTCAAATGCTGGATTTGCATGTGCATGCTAACCATACCTCACCCACCCTGTGGCTTTTGGGATCTTGCTAGGTAGCCTAGGCTGGCCTCTATTTGGGACTCAACCTTTTTCATACTCATTCTGTTACCCTAGTCTACCACGCTAATCCATTGACATCTTTGCTGTGTAACTTTTTGTCCCTCATTTAGATAATAGAAACTCATCCTTGAAGCTTAGTCAGTGTGAGGCCCTTCTAGTCTTTTCTTGACCCTGCCTCTAACCTCACCTAAGAGTAGATTTAAATGCCTTTATTCCTGTGCCTTCTGTCTGCATCAGGTATTGCTTTGGAAGGGTAGTGCCTATGTCAGCCTTTTCTTGCCATCCCCAATTCCTGACTCCATGGTCCTTCTCCATCTCAGCTTATTGTTGTAGGTTGGTTTGGTTTGAGTTTGATTTCTTTCAGTGTGTCCGTCTCTGTTGTTTCCCCTGCCACCCACCACCACCACCACCTGACAGGATTTTTCTGTGTAACAGCTCTAGATGTCCTGGAACTCATTTTGTAGACCGGGTTGGTCTCAGACTCATAGAGATCCACCTGCACCGCTACCACCCAACATCTGTCTGTCCAGGCTGGCCTTGAACTTCCAGCAGTCCTTCTTGCCTCAGCCTCCCAAGTGCTGGATTGCAGACATGAGTGACGACCATGTCCAACATGAGCTTATTATCTGAGCCTTCCAGTATCCGCCCCAGCTTCCATCAGTAGTCATCAGTTAGAATCAAAAGATTTGGTGAAATGTTTCTGGCCAGCGATAAGGATGTGGTTGCAACATATTCAACAACTGTGTTTCCTGTGAAATCCAAGAACTTTTGCACACCTAGTCCATTGGGTTTAAAAAGCCTTGAGCACTAATTACCTCTTCTAAGACACGCTCATCCCCAAGATGTTTGCTCTTAAATCCTGAAACCTGAGTAACATGTGTAAATCAGACTTCCCCACTCCTGTTACTTCTACATATGAGAAACCCACAAACCTTACTCGTGAAGCCTCTCACCTCTCCTAGGATACCATTAATTCCACCAAGTACCAGTGTACTTCCTTAGGTCACCAGTCTGTGAAACAATCTCTGCATCCCACCCCTGCCAACCCTGTTCTTTGTACTCATGTGCTCCAGTCCCTACATCAGCTCGCACATCATAGGACTCAGGCCTGCGGGGGAGGTCATAAAAGTTTCAACTTCATTCCCATTGCTGTTCCGAGCCACCTAATAATAGATGGTAAGCCGAAGGCAAGGACGTTGTGTTCACCAGTTCATTGAGTCAATACCAAGCAGTAGAAGTTCATGAATGACCTTTTAGGAATTACCCAGAGAGAAACAGTACTGTTGCTTGCTTTATCAGGCTATAAAGCAATTAAATATATGTCTGTCCCCTGACCAACACTCAGTTGGAGCTTTGCTGAAGCTCATGGCTGGTGTAGTTCCTGTTTGGGGTAGCATTGCAGCCATTGTGATTTCTTCAAGGAGGCTAAGAAATTCTGTGTACTTTAGAGAGTGGTCTGGGTGTAGTGGCATATGACTTTAATCCCAGCACTTTAGAGATAGAGGCAGGCAGATCTTTTATGAGCTTGAGGCCAGCCTGGTCTGGAGTTCAGACCTGCCAAGGCTACATAGTGAGACCCTATCTCAAACAAAGACAAGTAGATTGAAGAATTGGGCAAGTGTTGGAAATGGACCCAAAGCCTCGTGTGTGCTAGAGAGGTACTCTGCCATTGAGACCCCTGCCCCATGCTTTAGATATTTTATCACATGCTTTTGACCAAAAGTAGTTTCTTAAATCTCCAGCTTAGGTGGGAAACTCCACTGAAGGTCTAGACATTTGTGTGTATTCTGTTCACCCCTCCCACCGTAATAATTTGCCAACCCCCCACCCCCCATTTTACAGATGAGGGAGTTGAGGTTCCTCTGGAGAAACTTACACATACTCTCATAATGATAAACAAATTGAGCCTGTTTTCCTAAGCTTGGAGCTTCTCTCTCCAGGTCATCCCCTGCCTGGGTGGGGAGACAACAATACCCATAAGCAAAGAATAAACTGGAACTCAGTGCCCTAACAGCTGGGAGAGGGTGCAGCTTCAAAGCTTATGGTTTGTTTGTTGCTTTTCCCCCCACTCCAGATTCTGCCTGATCAATGCAGGAGTCCTGTATCTCTACTTCAGCAACTACCTACAGATCGACGAGGAAGAATATGGTGGCACATGGGAGCTCACCAAGGAAGGGTTCATGACATCATTTGCCTTGTTCATGGTATGTGTAGCTGGAAGTTCTACAGTAGCTTCTGTTGATCATGAGCCGTCCGTCATTCAGGGAACACACTAGTTGACTTACGCTATATGGTTGGACTACTGTTCTTTTAGTGGCACATCAAGGAGATCCTACAAAAGATGTGGTCTGGGGTGCTGTACACTTGTGTAAATCCAGGGCCTACTATCAACTACATATTAGAAACTGGGAAATTTTTAATACATATTTGTGGAGCTAGGCATAGTCATTCACAACTATAATACCAGCAAGGTGGATTATAAATTTGAATTCAGACTAAACTACATAGAGACACCTTGTCTCTAAAAGAAGAAAACCAAAAATGTAGATAGATGTGTGTATATTAAGTATATGCATTATTCCTAGTAGGAAAAATTAAACTACCCACATGTCTGTTATCTGGAGTGTAAAATGTTTTATATCCATACAGTGAAACATTCTTTCTGTGGTATTGCAGTATAGGTAAACCTTGAAAACATGCTAAGTGGAAGAACCTAGACATAAAAGGCTGCGTGATTCCACTTAGTGAAATGTCCAGAATATACAGGGCCATGGAGACAGAAAGTAGGTTGGTGGTTGCCAGTAGCTGAGAGGAGGGAGAGATGGGGAAATGACAAGTGACCACGGGAATAGGCCTTCTCTTTGGTGTAATATTGTGGGATTAATGATACTTACTCTTATGAAATCCTAAAGACCTCAGAATTACACACTGCCTTTTTCATGGGGGAAGGGGGGCTGTTAGGTTGATCCAGGTGACAACATGAAACTTGCTTGTGTCTCTTCTAGGTCATTTGGATCATCTTTTACACTGCCATCCACTATGACTGATGGCATCTGCTCCCATCTCTTCTGTCCAGTCCGAAGGACCCTTTTATTACAGCACAGACACATGCTTGTTGGGGCACTCCTGCCATGTGGAACTGAGAAGACCCATGTCTTTTGGACTTAGAATCAGCGTGTTGGGCATCGGTGTTTTCTGCAAGGGTTGTGAAACTTTTCAAAGAACCATCTGCCTTTGGGGAAGCATTTCTGAATTTGTCCATCGCCAACCATTTTTTCTTGGATACCATCATGTAACAGCTGTTTGCCAAGTGGAGCTGCTGTTTAATCTGATGCGCCTCTGGATCCGGATGAAACATTAAATTGTCTTCCTTAGTTCTCCGTCAGGTGTACAGTTTTTAAACTCTCAAGTCTTCTGAAAACACCATGTGCGTGATCCATAGCGCAGTATGGGCAGCCATCTAATAAGTTTCCACTGTAGAGTGTTTTCAGATACTTGAATAAACAAGTCTAACAAAGTGTTGGCATGCCTGCTAAACTAAAGCCTTGCTTATCTGCCCACTGGCACCCTCAGAACCTAGGGAGAGTGTTAGACAGAGCCCCAGCTTTCCTTCTCCCTCTGTTCCCATAGCTGCTTCAGTCAGGCCTCTTTCTCTTTGTGGCTGTCAGGGAAACAAGGGGCTGGAGTTGGTAAGGGTTACTGCTTTGGCTTTTAACATCTACTACCTGATGTTCTGGCCCAGCACTGAGATAGGTGGGACTTAAAAGGTGTCATATTGTGTGTGGCCACCAGATGGCAGCACTAGGTTATGGCTGGGCTGTGGATGAACACCGAAGTAGAGATCTGAGAGTTTGGCTGTCAAGGGACTTGATGTGAGGGATCATGGGAAGATCTAAATTGTTGGTCTTGCTCTGCTTGGGGGTAAGATGGTGGCCGCTGTATTAAGCCATCAGGTACTCTGCCTGTCTTTGTCTTTGCTTTGAGCCATCCTACTGTCTGAGATGTGTTTGCATTCTTTTTTTTTTTTTTTGGTTTTTCGAGACATGGTTTCTCTGTGGTTTTGGAGCCTGTCTTAGAACTAGCTCTTGTAGACCAGGCTGGTCTCGAACTCACAGAGATCCGCCTGCCTCTGCCTCCCGAGTGCTGGGATTAAAGGCGTGCGCCACCACCGCCCGGCTGTGTTTGCATTTTTTTTAAATATTTATTTATTATGTATACAATATTGTCTGTGTGCATATCTGCAGGCCAGAAGAGGGCACCAGACCTCTTTACAGATGGTTGTGAGCCACCATGTGGTTGCTGGGAATTGAACTCAGGACCTTTGGAAGAGCAGGCAATGCTCTTAACCACTGAGCCATCTCTTCAGCCCCCTGTGTTTGCATTCTTAATGAGTCTTGTAAATTTCCCTAATAGTTTTTCTCTTCTTATGCTAGTGGTGATCTCTGCCTTTTTGTCGGGTTGATTAGCCATCGTAATGGACATCCTTCCTAGGAACACCAAACCTCAGAAGTAATTTACTCTGTAGAGGCCTGGCTCTGCCTTGAATTGCGATGCACATGGACTAGAAATTGTAGGCAGGGTTGAGGCCTTGGGAGGAAGATAATGAGAGGAAGGAGCAGAAGGTCCATGTGAGACCCTGGATGTACCTGCATCCCAGCCTTGCCTTGAGGGTGCTTCTTCGGGTTTGACTTCTGTTTGGACTAGGCATCGTCCAAGGAGTTATCCTCAGTGAGGCTGATGTAGGAGCTGAGGGATTCTCGGAGCCCTTCACTGAGAAGAGACGCCTCCCCACTGGCAGGTGCTTCCAACAGCAGGCTGCTGTGGATGGGGAAAGGGGTGGTGAACTGTGTTTGCCACACAGTTCACCACCCCTAGAATGGCACCAGGGACCTCCTGCTGACAAACTCCGGCTCATCTTTTTTTTTTTTTTTTTTTTTTTTTGAGACAGGGTTTCTCTGTGTTGCTTTGGAGCCTGTCCTGGCACTCTCTGTAGACCAGGCTCTCCTTGAACTCAGAGATCCACCTGCCTCTGCCCCCCACGCTTGGATTAAAGGTGTGCGCCACCGTTGCCCAGCCTGGCTCCTTATTTCATAGTTGATCTAACTCCATCTTGACCTCCCTACTCAGGACTCTGTTCACCCACGCACTCCAACCATCCTCTCCCCCTGGCTACCCAGAGGTCCATGCCTGTTTTCCTTACTACTGCCTTGTCCTCACCACTGCTCAACATGTTAACATGTTCTGGACTCTAGAAGGTGCCCCTGGATGTAACAGGCCCATTCTGGGTTGTGAATCCACGTTTTGTTCTGCCTTCACATTTCCAGGGCTCCCCTTACCTATCCAGCTCTTTCCAGTTGAGTGATGCCGTCCGCACAGTCACAGGTAGAGGTATATCTTTGCCAGGTAGTGGGCCAAGCTTCTGCAGGACACAGGGCTCCTTTAGCACACAGCAGATGTCATCTGCCAGCTCTATGAAAGAGACGTAAGTCCTTGTGATACCTGCCCTGGCAGTGTTCTGTGGTTAGCACGTTAGGAACGTGGTCACCAAACGTAATGGGAAGTGAAGTCTCAAGGTATTGGTCTCACGATAGCTGTGATGTAAAGTTCATCTGGGGCTAAGTTATGTGATACTGAGTTCAGTGTAGAACTGAGAAAAGCAAGCTGAGTGGTCAGCCTGTGGCCTATCTGATCTACTGTGGGGAGCCACCTTTGTTGTTTGTTGTTACTGACTTTGTTTTTCTGAGACAGTTTCTCCTTGTAGCCCTGGCTGTTCTGAAACTCAGTCAGTAGACCAGGCTGACCTCAAACTCATGAGATCTGCCTGCCTCTTCCTCCCAAGTTCAGGGATTAAAGGCTGTCATGCCCAGTGAGGTTTTCCCTATCTCCTTGACACTTGGTTACAGGGCGGGAACCAGAAATGCTCAAGATTGAATTGCACCCAGGAACAGCACTATCTGGTTCTCATGTGATGAGAACTCTGCTGTAGGGCACTTTGATTTTGGACCACCACCGTGGCAGTGAGATTTTGGCCAAACTCACAGTTGGCTTCTAGTCAGTTCTTTGTCAGCATGGGATAGAGACAGCGCTCACCCACATCTCAGCACCAGGGCTGCATGGGGATAGATGGAGGCATGCCTCTTCTGCCTAGATAACCCCAGCAGGTCGGGTTCTAAGGGCACAACTGATGACCCCCTAGGACCCTCATACAGTCTGCTGTGGAGGAAAAAAAAAAGGATGAAGGATGTCACACCTGAGTAATGATCCACCAGGGCCTGGAGTGAGGGGAAGGTAAGGCGTGGTGAGATGTACAGCCAGCCGTTGTCGAGGCGCTGTATCCTGTAGTGTCTGATCCGGTCCCAAGATGCTGGGCGACTGAGTCGGACGGACAGGGAATAGCAGCCTGAGGAAGAAAGGGTCCAGTGATAGATCTGAGGCCCCCTGGAGACCCAGCCCCGCCCAGTTGGAAGAAGGAATAAATAAATAATGGCCACAGCCTAGCCTTTAAGGAGGTGTTGGGGGTCAAAGGCAGGACAACGAGAAATGGTTGTTATAGATAGGATTCTGTGGTCCTCAGGATGGGTAAGGTGTCAGTGAACCTTAATACTGGCTGTATAAAGACTCAAGGATTGGAATGTGAAAATGTGTCTAGTAGATGTCAGCATGGTCACAGAGAGAAAACCACCCTGGAAACAATTTGGTGGAGTTCTTCCTTCAAACCCAGCAGTCCCATCTCATATACAGGGGAGAAAGGCAGCATTGCTACCAATAGACGCCATATTCACAAGCCCTGTTTGAGCTCTATGTACAATAAAGTGCGGAGGATGTAGCTCAGTGGTAAACCATTGGCCTAGGGTACACACCACTCAGTGTGAGGTAATCCTCTCCCTCACACAAAGTAGAATGGAGCTTTATAGAACGCAATGCTGATTGTGTAGCCGAGAGTATAATCCCAGCATGAGGACGGTGGAGGCAGGAGGCCCTCCTCAGTTACATGGTGAGTTTGAGACCAACCTCAGCTGTGTGAGACTGTCAAAAAAAAAAAAGAATGAGCAGCAACAAGTCGTTTCAGTTCAGAACAGTGAAGGGTTTTGCACAGGGACACTTACACAGCAAGCTTTTGAAGAGAGGCAGTTGCTCAAGGCCAGCCTGGTAACTGTCCCAGGCTAGTCCGGGCTATATAGGAAGACTGTCTCAAAAATAAAACAAAGGCCAATCCTAAGTAACTGCTGCACTCTCAGTTGCCTGGTTCTCATACAGCCGCACTCAGTAGGACCTGTGCCCCCCCCCCCCCCCCCCCCCCCCCCCCCCCCCCCCCCCCCCCCCCCCCCGTGCTCACCAGCCCTGTTGCTAAGGCACACCTAGCCACACGGTGTGAAGGGGGCTAGTGATTATCTCAACAGCTCTGAGCATTCAGGTAGTGAACCATGTTTGGCATGCAGCAAGCACCCATTATTTTCTGTATTCTGGCCCTGTGTCCCCACTGTTCCTTTGTGGTAGCTTGAATAGGAATGGCCCCCACAGGTTCATATATTTGAATGCTTGCTCATTAGGTCAGTTCATTAGGGAGTGGCACTATCAAGAGGTTTTACCTTGTTAGGGTAGATGTAGTCTTGTTGGGGGAAGTGTATCACTGGGGGTGGGTTTTGGGGTTTCAAATGCTCAAGCTAGGCCCAGAATCTTCTTGCTGCCCGCCAACGCAGTTATAGAACTCTCAGCCCCCTCTCCAGCACCATGACTGCCTGTGTGCTGCCATGCAGCCCACTATGACAGTAATGGACCAAACCTCTGAACCTGTTAACCTGACCCAGTTAAATGTTTTCCTTTATAAGAGTTGCTGTGGTCATGGTATCTCTTCAAAGAAATAGAAACCCTAAGACATCCTTCTATGCAGAACATTCTACCTGCAAGATGCATAACCTTCCCTTAAAGAAGGAAACCTTCTGATGGATGGTTCTGATTTATCCTCCTGCCATCTTCTCATTTTCACAGACAGCCTTCATCCACCCACCCATCCATCCATCTACCCCCATCCATCCATCCACCCACCCATCCATCCATCTACCCCCCCATCCATCCATCCACCAATCCACCCATCCATCCATCCACCACTAAGCCCCAGACTCCGAAGTCACTGACTGCTTCCTCCCACTATCTTGATTTGGATCTGAAATGCCTTCACAGAGCCCTGGAGTGAAGGCACAGCTCCTGGCAGCAGTATTCAGAGCTAGGGCCTTTGGGAGGTGATGGGATCATGAGGGCTCAACCTTTTCCCAGCAAGCTTTTCTGTTCCATGGCTGTCACAAAGTGAGCAGCTTTTCTCCACACTCTGACCACATTCCCTTGCCACAGGCCTAAGCAGCTGTGCCAGGTGACTGTCAGCAGAAACCTCTGACACCAGGGGCCGAGATCAACCTCTTCCTCTGCCAGCAGCGGAAAGCCCTACTGGCTACGCTCAGAGCACACCTGGACTCTGACCACATCTCAACCAGACAGAGCTTGTGGCTGCTTCCTGTGTAGCTTCCCACTTCCAGTTTATCACATACACCAGTAGGTCACTCCTCCTTGGAGCCCTCCCTATCACACTTAGAAACAAAGTCCGCATGACCTTTGAAAGGCTTTGCAGGATCCGACCTCTCCTTGGACCTGCTCCAGCCCCACTGGCTTAGGCCCATAAGCCCTTCCTCAAGGCCCGTGCACTTGCCCCACAGACACACCCTCATCTCCACTTAACGTGCTGGGCACTGTCCGCCTTGCCACTGAGACTGTGGCCAGGATCTTGTATTTTATACCTTGAATCTTGGGTGTCCTACTGGTTGACTTTTGACAGAAGCTCACTACGTAATTGAATCTGGCCTGAACCTTGAGCAGGGGTCCCCTCTTCCCCCGCCCCAGCCTCAGCCTCCCAGGGCTAGAATTACAGTGAGCCACTTGAAGACTTACTGCCCTTGGATTTCTTGTAGAAAACACACACTGAGCATTTGCCCCCTACTGGCCATGGGTCTAGAGGGCCCTTCAGGAGCTCCACCCTTGCTTAGTGCACACAAGACAACATCTGCCTGAATGGATGAGGGAGCTGGTGGTGTGCAAGGCAAGTCTGGCAGTCTGGTATTAAACATGGCTCTCTCCTTCCTGTCTGGAAGACAGTTTGCTCCAGCTTTCTGCCTATCTAGGCAGACTCATTCATTTCTCCAACAAACATCTGAGCCCCTACTACAATGCCAGACAGTGCACAGGCCCGGATGGAGATGTAAGGACAATAGGAGCTATCTGCCTGCCCATCTCCTCACAGGGGTCGTCCTTGATGGTCCTCAATGGACAACGAGCTCCATTGTTCTCAGAGCACAGCTTTCAACTTTGTTGCAAGAAACCAGTTTGCTACAGCTGCAAGGGAGAACCGTGAGGGGGCAGCCTGGGGAGGCAACAATGGCTTGGACCATGAAGGATGAGTTTATATTTGCCCAGGGGAGAGGTTGGGGGGTGGGGTGGGGAGTGGCTTCCAGGCTGTGGGACCACGTGCCAGGAAGTGGAATGGAAAAAATGAGTACCTGGTAGGCAGTGGAACTAGAGGGCACAGAGGGCCTAGAGACCTACCAGACCAAAGGCAGTGTAGGTGGTCCTGGGTGCTCTAGCAGACTTAGGCACTCATGCCCAGAGCTTCTGGGATTGGGCATTCTAGTGGTGCTGGGAGAAGCTAGGAATGCCATCATGATCTACCTGGGGGAAATACCTGGCAGACCCTGTCTGCACTTCCTCCACTGAGGTCACGAACAAGCCAATGGCCTAAGAGATGCTGAGCCCTAGGTCCTCCCATCTGCAGTTGGAGACTGGGAGCCACAGTGTGGAGAATGCGACTCAGCCACCACTAGGGAAGTGTTGGCCACCGGAGAGTGGGCAGAGCTGAGCCCAAGAAGAACAGCCACATCTTGCTCACTGAATCCAACACAAAGAGGGCACAGGGCCAGAGAGCGAGGGAATGCTGCTTGTTGGAACCTGTCCTAAATCCCGGGACAGCTTTCCGGAGCAGTCCTGTGACCTGTGTAGTGATTAGGACCTCCTTCATAGAGCAATACACAAGCCTGGCTCTCCCCAGGCCTACAGCAGAGCCAGTAAGTTAGAGGAACTCTGAGGCAGTGTGGAGGGTGGCTGAGAGGGTGTTCTTGAGTGCTTGGGGCTGCAGGCTTTCCTTGGTGCACACACAGGCTCTACTCCTCTGGAATCCCAGCCTGATCCTGGAATCAGGTACAATGGCCAAAGCCTGTGATACCACTCAGGTGGAAGCAGGAGGATCATAAGCTCTGCCCAGGCAACAGAATGAATTCAAAGCCAGTCTGAAAAACTCAGTAAAACCCTGTCTCCTAAAGTATCTGAGGATTTGGGTTTGATTCCCAGTACTGCAGAAAAACAGGAGAAAGGGTGATCCTGATGTCACCCAGTCAGTGGTTACGATGTCATATGTGACAAAATGCACAGAATATAAGTAAAAGTCTCTCTCTCTACCCGTGATCGACAGGCAACATGACTTCTCTATTACTTCCTTCTGGGTTTTCCTCTGTCACTTTGAAAGCACACTCCTAGTATGTCTGTAGTAGCAAAACCAGCACTGTCACCAAGTCCAGAGCATCCCAGTGACCCTGTGCTTCAGAGAGCCACACTCTATGACATCATTCAGGACCCTAGAACTTAGCATCATATTTCACAGTCACCTAGGATATACTTAAGTATCTGAAGCAAGTCTGACTGCCCCCCAGCACCTCCGACTCCAGCATATGCCAGGGATTTCTTGCTCTACTTCGCTACAAACATGCCCTGCCCGGTGAGGGGTCTCACCCCACGGCACCCTTTCAGATTCCAGATTCTAGGACACATCCCTGACCAATTAATTCGGAAGCTCAAGCCTGGAGTGCAGGCATTCATGTTACAGGCTCCTCCGGGATGATTCCAATGTGGTCTCCAAGCCAGCTCCCCAGGCCAGCAGTGTAAGAGAAGAGGATGTTCAGGCCCGGCCTCAGGCTTAGCATGCTGGGTGTGGGGTAGCCGGCCTGCAGGCACGTCTGTGCATCCGTGGACAGAGACCGGCAGGTCTGTAAGCAGTGAACTAAAGTGATCTTTTCCCAGGCTAGGTAGGGTATGCCCTTCAGCAGTGCTGTCCAAAGGAAGCCTTGGAGATACAACCATTCTACAAGGTCAGCATGGGAAGTTTTTGTTTGTTCTGTATGTGTAAGCTAGCACGCCCCAGGGGTCCTCCTGTCCTGCATCCCTAGTACCTAGATTACAAGCATACGCCACCGGGCCAGACATTTTACATGGGTGCTGAGCCTCGAACTCAGGACTGACTGTGACTGAATGCTTGCTCCTCTGGGCTCTATCTCCCAAGTGCTGGGATTACTGGCATGCACCACAGTGCCCTAACACAGGGTCTTCTGTTTCTGATGAGAGTTGTTTCCTGAGTGACCCCCCACTAGGTGCTGGCGACAGGGACACTGGTCCTAGAATTCCTGTGGATCCTTCCAGGTCTTTGAAGATCTTCACGGATCCTCTTGGCTTTTACATGAATTTTCCTTGTGATAGCTCCTTCTTAAAAGGGAGGGATAATGGCACAAGGGGTGGTCACTATGCTCTTGGGACTGCACCAGGTCAGAGGTGGGGTGGGGTGCTAAGCCCTGAGCACTTCCTGTGGCTTTTCTAGCTCACAATTGGTAGTTCTGCAGGGCCCCTGTCTCAGTCACCACCACTGAGGTTTCCTGTGCAGCTGCCACACTGGAGCCAGGTGCCCCACCACCACCCGCAGCAGCAGCCAAGGGTGTTTATGAGAGTAAGGGGCTGGGGGAAGGTTAATCTAGGAAACTCTTGAGGGAAGTGCATGCAGGGGGGAGGGGCAGAGCAAGGACCCCCCAACAGACAGCCCATGCAGTAAGCTCAGTTGAGACAGACATGGGTCTGTCTGCACTGCTGTGACTCCTCCCTAGACTGTCACTAGCAGACTGTATTTTTGACCCTTGAAGTCTTTCTCGGGTGCATGGCTTGTGATGAACATTTGCTAAGAGGTCCTCTCATGTTCTGTCTTGTAAAGAAGGGTTCCCACTGCTGGTCAGAGTAAATCCCATGTGGTTTTTTGTTTGTTTGTTTGTTTTTCAAAACAGGGTTTCTCTATGTAACAGTCCTGGCTGTTCTGGAACTTACTCTGTAGACCAAGTTAACCTCAAACTCACAGAGATTTGCCTGCTTCTGAGTGCTGGGATTAAAGGCCCAGCAATCCTAGTCGTCAAAATATAGACTAAGACCAATTTTGTCCAAGGACCCTCATGGAAGCAGCGTGGCTCAACTCCAAGCCCAGGTACCCACTCCGCAGTCTCCCGCTGATTGTTCCAGGTCAGCTGTCTTTTCTTTGCCCTCACAGCCTGGCTCCACCTCAGGGCCTTTTACAGTCAGAGCCTGACTGGACTCAAGAAACCTCTGCTGACCTTTAGGAGTGGCTAAAGTGTGTCCTCTAGCCTGAGCCTCACTCTGGAGAGGTGTCTGGTGGAGGCTGAGTTTACCCACCTCTCCTGCTCTGGCTCTCTCTGATGAGGAAGGCCCCTCCAGGGTTCCCAGGCAACAAGAGCAGTTCCTCAGCTCTCTCCCTGCTCAGGCCCTCATACAGCCACCTGGTGGAGCAAGGAGAGGAACAGGTTAAGCTTGCGGGCTTTAATAGAATTCTATTAAAAGGATTTAATATGCCTCTGCCTGACCTTGACGACCTCTTCCCTCCCATGCCCTCTGGCCTTCCCTTGCCTTCTATACTGTGAAGAGCAGGCCTCAGAGGCTCAGAGATCCCTCCAAGAGTTGCTCTCAGGGTCCTGACTCCAGAGACTTTGGGGGAACAGCCCTATAAAGGCAGGGTCAGACTTTCTTTGCCTGGAGCCTTCATTACCAAGTGTCTGGGAGGTAGTGGGATGGAGGAGGGACTGTGGGGAGGGCATGGCAGGGCAGCACAGGTTACCCCAGCCTCTGTCATCACTGCCCAGTCCTCCAGCTCCACTGCTGACCCACACATCCTTACAAGAAGTGCCCCTTGATTCCCGCCTCAGGATGACCTTACAGACTATGCCTGCCTCCTGCATGTCCCCTTCAGGGTTCTCTACACCTGATCCTGGCCACCTTCCAAAGGCCCACACCACAACACCTCCTCTATGGGGCCTTCTCTTGGCTCCCAAATCTCATGGGCCAACCTGAACAAGACATGACAATTGTCTGCTCCTCTGAAGGCCAGGGCCCAGGCTCTATTCAGTCTGCAGCTATGCATAAAGAGGACGCTGTGGGGAAAGTATAGAAAGGTCCTCAAGGTGGGACTGGGCTGGGTACTCACCCATGGGAGACTTTAGCCACGTACACACTGGGGATGTGGTACTCTCTCCCCGAGACTTCCGATATGACTGTCCACCAATCTCCATCCCTGTGGAGAGATCACGGAGGACCACCTTCATTTGGCGTCTGCAGGGGCTTCTCCAAGTGGAACTTGTAGCACCCTTTCTACTCATTTCCCAGAATCCCCACACCAGCTAATCCAGGCTCCTCCTTGGGTGAGGGCCTAGCAGGTGCAAATGATCCATGGTTCTTGTTCCAAGGCCTGGCCCCACTTTCTCTCTCCCTGTGAGTGTGTCAGGCTGCCAGAAAACCACCCAGAGATATAATCACATGGGAGCTTTTAAAAGTGGCCCTGTGCCTTCCTGCTGGCAGTGGAAGGGCCCTCTCCCACAGTACCACCTCAGGACCCAGTGTGTAGACTTACTCAGAGACGATGGTCAGCGGCTCCCCAAGTCTCAGAGACAGTCCAGCCTGTGCACCTGCTGGAAAACTGCCCAGGGCCACCGCTGTGACCTTGCTTCTCTCTAGACAGACAGGGGGATAAACAATTTGCCCCTTGGTCGGTGCTTCCTCAAGGCATGAGTCAATAGATTCTTGCCTTGATCTGGCTCCCCTCATTCACCCTTCCCACAGGTACCCTGAAGTGAGTGGGAGGGAGAGTAACCCCAGAGTCTGAAATGCTCCCAGCAGGCTCTACAGAACCTGGAAGAGCCCACATAGCTTTGGGGGTTCCCATGAGGGCCTTCAGTGCATGTGGCTAGAGGACCAGGCTCCTGGCTGAGCCCCCCTATACGTATAACTTCTACAGAGACCTTGATGAAGGATTTCACAACTTGGAAACCGAACACCTACAGGGCTGGGGATACAGCTTAACAGAGCAGCGTTTGCCTAGAATGTGCAAGGCCCTGCCTTCCACCCTGGCCCCATGGCAAAATAAAAACAAAACAAAAACCCACGGCAGCTAGAAGCCCCTATCAACACGGATCTGAGTGGGCCTCTGAGAGGGGTGGCGGGGCCACACAGCTCTAAGGGCGGGCTGGGAGGAAACTCAGGAAGGCTAATAGCTCTGCCTAGGGCCCCAGGAAGGAGGGCAGAGCTAGCACCAATAGTGAGTGATGTGCGGTGAGAAGACAGAAAACAGGGTCTGTGAGCTGAGGCTAGCCACACACCTGACTCTGGTGTCCCAATTACTCCTACGTCAGGCCCCTGGAGAGATGCCCCTGTGAACAGGCTATGTCAACCCAAGAGCACTGCACACAGGCACGGGCTGGACTCCCAGTAGTCTATGTCCAGGGCAGTGAGTGAAGGCCTGTGCTGTCCCTGAGAAGTGCCACCAGAGGCTGCTATTGCAGGCCTGACAGGGCAAGTGCCTCACGGGAGCATGTGACTAAGAGTCCTGATAACCCTGACTGTACCCCACACATGGGGTCCTACTGGGGTCTTCCTCTATCACCTTACCACTGCCCTGACATCAGTGTGCCTAGTCATCTCTACTCTGCAGAAAGGTCTCAAGGCCTTGATGTGGCACTCAGCAAGGGGAGGGGCATATTCCAATTCCATACCACCCTGTTCACAGGCCCAGGCTGGGGAGAGGGGAGAGTGAGGGGCTGGCTGACGGCGGCACCTCTCAGGACTGGCCCCAGCTTCCTGGGAGGCAAAGACTCCAGTGGAGGAGTGACTGGCCTGAGTCACGGAGCTAGAGTGAGGCTAAGACACCAGTCACCCTAGAAACAGCCCTGAGGACTCAGTGGACATGAAGTCCAGTTTGGAAGTGGGGCATCAGGCAGCAAGCAGGGCACCCCCACTTTCCTCACATGAGCCCGCACAGTCTAGCAACCCCTCCTTAAGCTTGCAGGGCCTGTAGGTGTCTGTTGAAAACTAATTCGCCGACCTCACTTTTCCTTCCTCCTGTCCTTTCTTAGTAAGGGTCCCCAAAAGAGGGACTTGCTAGCATATGGACGCAGGATGCCAGGAAAAGTATTCAAGGTCAACGGGAAGGTTCTTTGTCCCTAAGGAGCTCCCAAAGTACCAAGGTCCCATAGGACTCTGGGATGCTCTCAAGAGGGAGCTGAGGCTCCTGTGGGGAAGGGGGAGACGACAGATATACAAGAGTCCACGAGATAGGTAGGGGCTGAAGGGTCTCTGCTGTAGGTAGGAGCACCCATTACCACGTCTTATCTCTTAAAAGGTTAGTAGAAACCCTCACAGCAGGAAGCTTTTAAGAAGGGGGGGTGTCCTTTCCTGCCCAGAGTCTGGTGTCCCTGCAGCTGGGAATGCCTGATGCCTCCCTCCTATGGAGGTCTCTCTTCCATAAGCTGGGAACAAAGAAGCTGGTAAGGTTCCTTGCCCTCCTGAGTGGGCAGTCTCCCGAGTAGCTCCCGCTGGCCCAGTGGCCCACCTTCACACTTCTCTTCTTCAGAAAGGCTACTCTGACCTGCCCCTCCGCACTCTCTCATCCCCACAACACTCGTCACAAACATAACATGGCTGCCGCTCAGTGGTTTAGCTTCTGTCTCTGGGCAGGAGCTTGTGTCTTCAGCTCCTGTCACATAGCTTGGCACCTGGCAGAGCCTCAGTAAGCTCCAGATGGAGCCAGGTCTGGGGGGACAAATGGCTCCTAGACTAGACTAGTGAAAACCCACATTCCTCTGGGACAAGGAGCTCCATTGAGAGATGGCCTCCCTTCCTTGGAGGCCATATGGAGGGAAGAAAAGGTTCTCCGAGCCAGGTACATCTTCCAGGGGTGGTCACTACCCTCAGAAGCACCAGGATGACTCAGTAGCCTGCCACCTGCCTCTAACTCAGTGGAAAAAGGGGCAGTCGGAGTGGTTTTCAGGGCTCTTCCTGCAGGTCTCTCACTGTAGATGAGGGGGTGCCCAGGGTGTCTGGGTGCTGGTAGCAGGGAGGTAGGGGCTTGAGTACAGAACAGGAAAAGACACTCTGCCCCTTTAAGGGATCTGGGTGTTGAGGAACAGCAGTTTGTGCCTAAACCCAGATGCCCAGCCATCTTGGCTCTGCAGTCTCTAGTGTAGGTTATTAATACTCCCTGCACCCCTCCTAACAGTGCTTCTGGGTGTGGATGATCTCCTTATCCATGATGGTTAATTTTCTGGACTGCCATGGCTCCACACAGCATTTAGATAGTATCTGGTCAAACCAGTTTGGATGTTTCTGTGAGAGTTTCCAAACAAGGCAAACCCCCACCCCCACTGCAAAATTAAAGACAGGCTCTTTTAGTGTAAGCCAGGCTAGACATAAACCCACAATTTTTTTCGCCTTCTAAATGAAGGATGTATAGGCTTGCATTGCTGCAGCTAGCATGATGCCCAACTTCAAACACATTTTTGTGCATGTGCTGAGGATGGAGCCACAGGCTCTAACCCTGAGTTCTACTTCCAGCCCCTCACATTAAGGTTCCTACCACTATTGCAAGTTCAGCAGAAGCTGGGAGCTTGTGGCTCACTGGCAAGAGTGGTCATGGCTCTCACTGAAGGGGTTATGTTGGGGTTGTTGGCCTAAGACCCACAGGTGATGAGCTCTAGGTCCCTAGACCTGGGAAGGGCCTGGTGGCCCCACAGACATAACTTACCTGCTTGTGTGGACACAAGTCCCTGGACTGGACCAGAGGAGATGGTGCTGGAGCTTGTGGGCAGGCTTTTCTCTCTGCTAGGCCAACTTCCCATCATTCCTCAGCAGACTCTCAGGAGCACACTGCTGAAAGAGACCTGAAAAGGGTGCTTGCTGCTATGGGGACACAGCCCATGCTAATCTGTGAGATGCTCCTTCCAACTTTAAACCCTTGGCCATGCCTGGCACAGAAAACAAACTCAGTGAATGGCATTTGAATGGAACCAAAAAGATGAGATTATAACCTGTCCTACTATAATCAATGAGATATCTGGAAAGGATTAGCGAGCCAGCCCCCCTCACTGAAACACTTAATAGAAATTATTGGAAAATCAACATTTCTCTAGAAACCAAGGATGTGTTTAGTCCAAGGACAGCACACTGTGCAAACACTCTGCTCACTTTGGTTCATTCTGTTGATGTGTATTGAGAGCCTTCAGTGGGCCTCACAATGCTGATGACAGGACATGGAACTGTAGGGTAATGGCCGATTGAACAAATATTCCAACTGAGCCTGCTGGCAGTCACAGGGCTGTGAAGCAATGGGACCAGTTGACCCCAAGAGTTTGGGAGGACAACCTAGGGAACACAGTCCTATAGCTCACAGTCTCATAAAAACAAAAAACAAAAACTTCTCAGGAACACAACAGAATAAGTGAAAAAGGAAAAGCTCCTGGAAGAATTTGTAACAGGTTCTTCAGGACTCTGCAACTTTCTCTTCCTGGTTTGGATAAGGCATAGTAACTAGTGGGGAAGACGAGGCCCAGGCAGTGGCAGTGAGGCCGAGGGTAAACAGGTGCTGCCCACATTTACAGATGAGATCGGATCGTTTGGTACATGTCGTCCTGGAGCCTGACTACAAAGCTCACTCCCAGTCCCAGAGGAGATCATTCTTTCTCACTTGTCCCAAGTCTACCAGAAAAAAAAAAAAAAAAAAAGCAAGCATACTTACAGGTTTGTCATCAGAAGTTTGGTGAGGGTACTTGGGCAACTCGCACTTCAGCCTGACAGGTCAGGCCTTTGCAGGTACTAAGTTAGAAGTCAGTGTAGATACAGCACATTCAGATCTCAGCCTGGAGGATCACCAGAGGTGTTTGGAGTAAGCTGGGGTAAGCTTAGTCTTGTTAGTGGACAGCCATTTCCACAATACTGGGGCAGGCACCTTTTGCTTCTCGGGGAAACCAGACCAGGCCG